AGTGTATCATCTGGTGGTAGATCACAACTGTCCCTATTTCCGCTCTGATATGCTGGGCCCGAGCGAGGAGATGCAAGATGATCTCATTGAAGAAATTACATGGCGACTTGCTCTCCAATCTGTGCTAGAAGAAGAAGAGCGAGAAAGGGTGAGGGAAAAAGTTGTGGAGGATTAGGAAGAAAGCAAAGAAGAGGAAGTTCTTGATCTTTTCCAAGGGGAGTGACCACATTTTGACGAAGGAAGGGGGGTTGAGGAAGCAATTGGCGTCCAGGCTGAGGATGAAGTTGAGGTGGAAGAGGCTTGCACCTGCCCTATGTTACATGTGATATCTCCACCAAACTTCGAGGAGCTGCTTGGCAAGGACCCATTTGCAATGACTCTTTGCCAGACCAAGACCACATCAACATCAATCCCTCTTGGTGGATGCGATGGTGGTCAATCGAATATATCTTATCTGGTTTGGGGCAATGAGATAAGAGCATACGCGAAGGAGAGGTCTCGTGAGTGGAGGCTTCATCTTCCTCAAGGCCACGAGCCATCTTCATCACCTATCACATCACCTGCTTGTGACTTGAGACTCCACATCATCGACGAGAACCTCAACTTCAAGGAGGTTTTGGGGTGGACCGAAACTTAGGAGCCATCGTCCGGCTAAGACGTAAAAGAAGCTCTTGTGGGGAGGCAACCCCACCAAGGTTTATTTTTCTTTCGTTTATTTTCGGCTTGTCCATTTGGAACTATGGTTTCTATCACCCAGTGTGTTTTGCTGATGCTAGCCCCGCTGACTGGTCCGCTTCCACTCCCTCGGCAGTCTTTCCTTCCGGTAACATCGCTCCCCTTTTTTTTCCTCTGCTCCATTGAGGGCAATGTCGTGCTTAAGTGGGGGGGGGGGTGTTTATCTGTCGTTGACTGCTAGATGAGTTTGTGTGCTTGGAGCCTAGTCCACTGTCCAAATCTCGAGATTTGAGGGCTCCAAGTACTGTTGTTTGCATGATCATAATGGCACTATGATTTGAGTGGTGAATCGAATGGCTTTCGAATTGTTGCATGACAGCTTGATTGTAACTAGGACAACCTATGATGATGACTGAGACGTGCAGTAGAATTGTGTAGGGGTTCAGTTTTTCAACTGTTTGCTTACCAACTGTGACTTGGATTGATCACTTGCTCTTGACAGTCGTTTATGCATCTAGTTCAGGGAATCAGAATGAGAGATAGATCATATAGGTACCCATGTGAGATTTGAGCCTGCTCGTTTCTTTCTTGTGCGGTAGATCCCTCTTCCATAATGTGTAGCATTCACGTTGTCATTAGCTAAAATGATGGAGGCATAGGATTAGCCCACGACCAAATTGACTGTCCTGATGAGTCATACCCCTTAGTCATCCCTTTTGAGCCGTGTGTTATCCTTTCTTTCGGTCTACAATGGAAATCACCCTTTTGCATCTCTTAGAAGGTTCCACAGTGTGGTTTTTACATGTTCTCTGCTGTTTCTGCTAAATTTAATGTGAGGGTTGGAGGTAATGCTTAAAAGTTGGGCATGTGTTTGAAAAATGTGCATAGGTGGTGGTTCTCTCAAAAAATGAAAAAGAAAAGAAAAGAAAAAAATGAATGAAAGCAAAAGAGAGCCACCACCAAAAATCTGAATAGTGCCCATTAAGTAGTGTTTCTTAGCAGTCTGGCTTGGAAATGCTAACATTTATATGACCTCCTTCGCTCTTGTGCTCTAGAGAATGTGAGTAATGCAGAATGACAGAAAGAAAGTAAGTGGTTTGATTGACTATGATTGTGCTGGGTTGGGAAATGTGGAACCTTGTGCTATGAATACTTCCACCACCTAAAAGGCCTTTTCGCATGTCCAAGACCCTAGCAGTCATCTGACCCTGTGTCTAAGACCTCCGGATTAGTTAGTGGTGACACCCCATATTTGAACTCTAACATTTAGAGGCTGCCTAACTGCCTTCATGGTGAAGAGACGTTAGGGATTGAGAGAATAAGCATGCGCATTTTCGCATCAAATTGTCCTGACCCCACTGGTCGAGAGTGAGCGATTCATTTTCTCATATTCTATATACTCTTTTACCCCGGTGAGGACCTTGATTGCTCGGTCTCAATTATGATATCTTGAGTTTGATGCATGCGATGACTGTCTTGGCTATGTGGTTGAGTTGAGTCTATGTTGGTTCATGAACAGAAGGGAGACTCTTCCTTTACCCGATTTTGATGCACTCGAATGTCTTCTGTGGTGGTTATCCAGGTTACTGTTGAAGTTTCCCATGTGTTAATGATCAAAGCCAGTATGATTCACTTGTTTTATGCCGATATGATATGTCCCCAAGGGTTGCATGATTAAGATGTTTTGAGATTACCGTATATCTGACTTTGTTTGCTTGGGGACAAACAAACGGTTAAGTGTGGGGGAATTTGATGACTTGATATATACACATGTTTTTTTCCACCATTCTTACACCGTTTGAGTCTTATTTCTCGTGTTTTAGGCTGATTTCACGCTAGGTTGTTCTTGTTTGTGATATTTCAGGTCCTAGTACGTGAAAGAAGATTTGGGCACGAGTTCGGGGTCGATTAGACGAAGTTGGGACGTTTGACGAAAAGCTGGAAATTCCACACGGGCACACCTAAAATTCCACACGGCCGTGTGACTTGGCCGTGTGGCACCATTTTGCACGGGCAAGCGACACTAGACGTGTAGGGGACCCCTTGTGGCCGTGTGGAAAGTCCAGGGAGCTCACACGGGCAGACTGGAAAGCCACACGGCCGTGTGGTTTTGGCCGTGTAGCGTACTTGAAGCCACTTAAGTGAAACGCGACGTTTTGCACACTCACACGAGCAGCTGGGAAAGCCACACAGCCGCGTGGTCGGGAATTTCTGGGTTTTAACCCAATTTCGAGCCAAAGGAGAGGGAATCGACTTTTTGGAGCAAAAATAGAGCCCTAGAGAGAGAAAGTGCGAAGAACACATCCTAGAGGTGATTTTGGAGCTGGGTCTCTCAATCGAGCTTGGAGATCATAACAGGAGTGAAGATTGACATCCCAGAGCAGATTCTTCCCATTGTTATGAGTATGACTGCTTTGTATTCTGTTTCCCTCTCTCTCTCTATGGAGAAGAACTTTCTCTCACTTGGGTATGAAGAACCCTAGTTCCATGTGTTAGGGATCTTGATTGTAATGACTCGGGATTGTTATACTGTTTGGTTTTAATCGAATGATGCATGATTCATTGAATCAATTGAAGTCTGATCATTTTTTCTTGATTTCTGCTGCAACCTGAGATAGATAGAATCTGATTAGGTTGTTAGAGCTTCATCATTCGGTAGTGGTAGATTGGTTATACGAGAGTTAATCAATCTATTGCTTTGTACTGGAACCTAATTCCAGTACTGGAGTTCTGCGTTCATAGCCTCAGCTTTCTATCCCGGTGAAGACTAGTCATCTGCCGGGTAGTTGGACTGAGAGGGCTTGGTCAGCTTAAGAGATTCCAAGTTACTGTCAGATCTTCCGCAGTTTAATCAACAGTAAATCAACCCAGGGTAATTACAACTTAGACCTAACTAAGGAGCTAGGGGGACTCATTCCCGAGTGACTCTCCCTTTGCTTTAGAAAATCGAACAATTTCCTGCTTTCTTACTGCTTTTAGTTAAAACCACAATCACTCGACTTAGTTTGCTAGATAATAGACATTCACGGAGTAGGCAGTAGATCTAGACTCCGGGTTGACAATTAGAGCTTGCCTGTTACTATATTTCCGGACTGCGATTACACTTGGTCGCAGTTTGGTGTTGTGTTTTAGCGTGTCACTCCCCGATGACGGTAGCACAACGCCTAACACTACGCCGGGACAAAGTTCTTGATGATTAGTATGCAGGTACCCCACGTTTAGTAGGCCCCGCTGTCACTCATGTGGCATGTGGGTTACTAATGTTCCTGGGTTATCAAATGAAAAAAACACTACAAATCCATAACCAAACTTTTGCTTTCTAAATTTTCCATATATGTTTTACTTGGTACAACCCAATAGCCAAATTCATATCATACACTATATCCATCAATATTCCATCATTGATACCATATGATACAAGATAATATAATATCTTATTTCGGCCTCAAGTTTGATGTAATCATGCAAGAAATGGACAACTTTGACCCAAAATTTCGATTGATCGTCAAATTGTGACTTAGCATACAGTGTTAAGGCGATTACGACGTGGATATAATTCAGAAATAAAAATCATGTAATAAAAGGATTGATACGATTATAGCACCCAGGTTATAAAAAATGTAACTTGTGTCTTACTTTATTCAATATGACAATCTATCCCCAACAAATTTTCCATTAGAGTTTATCGTTAGTTAGTATTTAATGAATAGACAAGTCACTACTGTGTGGCATCTGACATTAAATTTTAGAATCTTTATTTTTATCTCACTAACACATAATTATTTTTTAATTCAAAAGTAAATTAAAGTTTTAAAATATAGAAAATATATTACTGGGGAAATTCATCTATTTTCTCATATATCTCTCAACTCTCTCTCATCTCCCTCTGTCGCCGTCATAGCCTAGTTTCCCTTCTTCGTCTTCACCTTTCTCAATCTATCAGCGGGGATGGATCTACTTCGAGATCATCTGCAGCGCCAGTGTCGTGTGCGTTGAATCCATCACAACCACTTGTTCGACGGTGTTATCTCAGGCTTCGAAGTGGGGATGCAGACAGCAAGCATATCACTCGGCGGCGAACATGCCTCCCAGCTTGTGCCAGGGTGTTTTTGCAGAAAATTAAAGGAATTGCTAAATGTCGCCCTGGATTGTACTGTAATTGCTCTAACTTTAAAATTAGAATTACATCTTTATCCTTTTATGTTTTAAACCTTTTATTTAAACAAACAACACTTTATTTGAGGAAAAAAAAACAAAGCAAATTCTCACCTCGGTTTTCCGTTCAAAACAGATAAGGGAACCAGAGAGAAAGAAAAACAGAGGAGATGTGTGCCCTATTGCCGCTTTTGATTTCCCTTCCTCCATCTCCATTTCAATTGAATTGGTGTACTAGGGCAATCCCTGGGGGAGATAACGGCGTTAATCTGGCGATGCGGCTCCTGCAGAGAATGGGATCTATTTTGTTCTTTGTCGTGGCCGATTACTACCGCCGGAGATCGAGAGTAAGCAAGCGAGTGATCCCGAAGCTGGATGAGGCGGCAACGGAGTCCGGCAGGAAGGTGGAGAGGTTCTCGCACTGTGTGTTGAGGCAATAGAGTTCTCAAATTCGAGTGAGTGCCGACAATTGTGCAAGCTGGCGTACGAAAACCTGAGGAAAATCGAGGGGTTCGAGGACAAAAACTGTGATTACTTTGCCAGAAACGACGGCGGCGAAGGGGCGAAAGCTGTTCGGGAAGGTGGTGGAGGAACTTGAGAAATGCATCTTGCGCTACTTCGCCTCCACTGGAACCACGCCGCTTCGATCGTCTCTCAGGTAGGTTTCCAAATTAAATTATACTCCCCCTACATATTTTAAAATTCTCATCAATTTGAATTCCTTTTCAAATTTTGTTGAACTATTTTATTTTTTCCGTTGCTCAGGTGATGAACGGTCAATCGGAGAAGAAGCCGAAGCTCAAAAGCTTTCTAATGGCCGCCACCAGGTAGACGGGCATCTCCTGGGAGATGTATTTTCTCGCGAGGAGGAGATAGGGTTTGTTTGTTTTGTTAATTTTGTATTTGATTTTTAAGGTTATTTAAGTAATTTTATGCTTTTAAGTTAGGGCGAGGTTTAGTCATTTAGAAGATTAAATGCTTAGTAAGGACTCAATGACATGACATATATGTGATTGCTACGGTTATGTCACGTCACCAAAAGTCAATATCATTTTGACCACTGAGGTTAACCGTTATCAACAAAAGCATGAAAAAGTATTATCTTGTTGTCTCTCTTTCTTTCGACCTTGACCCATCCCTCTTCTCCCTCTCCATCGGGGAACCATCCCCCATCCAAGATTCCCTCGCCGTTCCGCAGGCCACCCACATTCGTTACTTCACCCTCTGCAGACTTCAGTACTTAGCGACGATAACATCACACTCGCAGGGAATGAGTTAAGTTGCTAACCCCTTACGAGGTTAGCACCATACTAACTAGGTTAATTATCGTTAGATTAAAAAACTAATCCTAGGGTCAGAATTAAAAAGAGGGCAATTTAGTTAATGCTCTTGAACCCTAATATAAATACACATTCTCCCTCCCACGCCTCTCTCCAGGCCGCCCACTTTTTTCCTCTCCCTCTCCGCCAGAAACAATCTTCTCTCCTCCAAAAAAACGTCTTTTCCCATGCCTCTTCCACCTCCTCCGTGACTTCAATCACCCGGCCAAAATCGTCATCACCCGCAGACTCGCCTTCGTCGTGCCACCGCTTCCTCCTCTTCGTTAGCTGATACCGAGGGTGGCCACCTGAACTACTGAGGAACGCCGCCGTCAGAATTAAAAAGAGGGCAATTTAGTTAATATGCTCTTGAACCCTAATATAAATACACATTCTCCCTCCCACGCCTCTCTCCAGGCCGCCCACTTTTTTCCTCTCCCTCTCCGCCAGAAACAATCTTCTCTCCTCCAAAAAACGTCTTTTCCCATGCCTCTTCCACCTCCTCCGTGACTTCAATCGCCCGGCCAACATCGCCATCACCCGCAGACTCGCCTTCGTCGTGCCACCGCTTCCGCCTCTTCGTTAGCTGATACCGAGGGTGGCCACCTGAACTACTGAGGAACGTCGCCGTCAACGCCATCCTCCCTCCTCGCCGTCCACTAATCCCAGATCCGTCCCAAGGAAGGCCGCCATCGCGCGAGATTCATTGTCGATTACCAGATCTACCTCGACAACGTCACCATCATGCTATCGCATCTCTTCCAACCATCACAATTGACAATTGGCCGATGTTACACTGCCGCATCGATCTCCTCCACCCTAGCATTTCTCGACGTTGGCAGATCTCTAGATTTCACAATCAGATCTATAGTGGTGTTGAGAATTGTTATAGATATGAAATAGTAATTTTCCATATTTTTAGTATTGTTTTCATATTTTTGGTAATTATTATTAATAATATAATAGTAGCGATTTTACAGATCTGATTGAGATTTTATGATATTTTAATCGGTACACAGGAGATATAAATCGCTACACATGGAATATAAAACAGTAACCTATACAAGTAAATTGCAAAATCACTATTGATTACAATTAAATCACTACTAGAAAATTCCTAAACCACTATTGATGAGACTTAAATTTCTACTAGAAATTTCCTAAATCACTACTAATAAGTAATAACAATTAATTCGGAAAGACAGTTCTATAAAACCCCAAAATTCCGTTAAAAATCCTAAAATCACTACTACCCATCAAAACTGCTACTGATTTTATGTAGTAGTGGATTTATTAGCATTTTTTCGATAAAAAATTACTAATGCATGGAGGAGAGAGAAAATATATTATATATATTTATTATTTTTAATTTTGTGAAATACCAAACAAACCCTTCATTAATAACCATCATCAGATTAAAATTAAAAAAATGAACGATGATTAGAGTAGTTATCACAGTACTAATTTCTATTAAGTTAACACTCTGACCTCTCCCCACTCGCAACGATTCCATCGTCGACAAGAAGAGTGTGTGGTGGTTTGCTCGTAGAAGGAGCAGCTTCCTTGCCGCAGCCGACTTTTCTCCCTCGTCGTGGGGAAGGCATTGGAGACTGGTCTTGGTGGTTACCTATGGCGGGATCCTAGTCGGAGTTTCTAATCAAACAAGTTGGCTCTATCTATCAATTTAATCAAGGGCTAATAGCATTTTTTACCCTTCTACTATTGCAAATTAACAATGGTACCCCTCTACTAAAATTTTGCACAAACAAACCCTTTTATTTTAATAGACTAATATTAAAACGTATCAAATATACACTCATGTCTAATTATTATTATTATTATTATTTTTTTTTTTTTTTGCTGAGAAGGAGGCATAAAGCCGAAGAAACAGAAGCAAGTTACAGGATAGGAGTAGAAGAAGAGGACGACGCTACAACATTTCTAGGAAGGGCGATACCTCGAACGTCATCATCAAGGATCGGGTAGAGACCTGTGGGCGGATCGATCAGCCTTCCGTCATTTACTCCTAAACTCCTAATTTTAGTTTAATTATTTTATGTTTCTAACCCAATTAATTAAACATTAAAACCTACAACTCCCAAGTCCCAACCATTCTCTTCCACAGACCAAGCCTTCCGTCTTCCTCTAGTCCCTCGACTCCCCTAAACCAGAAAAATCCGGCGCCAACAATAGACTGAGAGTAAGACCAAACCTTCCTTCTTCCTTCACTGGGCTTTCCCACAACAGACTGAGAGTTAAGAGTAGTCTCTACTCTCTAGCCGCAGGTGGGGCCGAAGCAGAGATGGGCATTGGGCGACCTTTGACAAGCAGTTCAACAGATGCGTTCATCAGCAGAGAGCTAGTGCTTTGCCTTGCTGCAGTGGCCAATATGATGGAGTTGGAAAAAGGACACAAGCAAGAAAACTTGAGATGATTACCATAGCAAGATGTGAGTCGAGGAAACTTGAGATGATTACCGTTATAGAGAGGAGTCAAGGTGTCTGTCATAAGGTACCACTATCTGAAGTGACAAAGTTGTATTTTGAGTTCCCAAATTTCACAACCCGAGCTTGCATTAGACGAGTGACTATAGGAATCTTCCCAAGGCGGCGACTGCTCATTTCTATCAAGGCCATTCAGCAGCAGTGTGACACACTTATGGCATCTGCAACAAAGAGTTACCATTCAGTTTCAAGAATTTCATGTTGCAATCATGCCAAAGAAGCTGCACTTAGCCTAGGCAACATATCATCCTGAAAACGTGTGAAATTTCTAAAAGAAGCTACACTAAAAGGAAAGCGAAGACAACATTTACTATTCACCATAAACTTGGGACATTGATCTGAAACAAAAGGGACAAAGTAGAAGATTACTTTTGAGTAAGATGGGCATAATATTACTACTCCAATCACAGTGGGCGTAGTATTTCCTATCAGTGTTTCCCATGAACAGCTACTGAATAACGAAATTAGCTTCTTTATAACAAGCAGCAAAATATTATCATCTTGCAGATTCTTTGCTTACCCTTTCTTGGACAAACTTTCCAACTGGCATCTATGGTCAATTGCTATTGTCTTAAGAAATTGGCTTCTCAATCCCAAACAAAGTTCTTCCTCTGGCATTTACCCTCGCCATTCTGAATCGTCTGAAATAAATGGGATTGAAGTAAAATAACAAGAATGCTTTGCCTGTATAAAACTGAGGTGGCTGATAACTATTTATTACCTACCTCCATGATGTCAGAATCATTCCACCGTACCAACTATTGATAACTTCCATTCAATTATATCATTGATAACCTGTAGGATAGCACATATATAGAAACCACTGAAGGCTATTAAACATGCTTTCAGCACTTAATATGTTCAGAGAGAGCATCCCTAAACTACAAGGACTAGCTAAGAACCATCTGCTAGTTTAGACAGCTTAGAGCGGTCCATCAAATCAAAACTAACTTTCCGCAGAGGTAAGAGAAAAAACATTCTTCTGACCCATCACAGAGAAGTGATTAGTACACCTTAAGCAGAAACCAACAGCTCTTCAAAAATAAGAAGTAACCGAAGATGTCTATTCGTCCTACCCAAATCACTTCTAAATTATAATTCAACAAACTGGGGTAGCAGTAGCAGTGAGTAAAAGCATAAAGACCAAGGACGGCGGGGGTCAAGCATTCCAAACAAATGTAAGCCACGTCTAAAGTTCATAAAAGGAAGATTATAAAGTGACTAACAGTATACAAGTCATCTTTCTCCATTATCTCGATATCTGCATTTTGACTTTCATAGCGTCTTCGCAAATAGGCCTCTACATCCATTTCCATCTTTCCCTGTAGAAGTAACACCCGAAAAATCAGAAATGACACTACAATGGCAGAGAAGCTTAACTTTCAGCCAAAAGCATTCAAAGAACAAGCACCTTTGTGGCTGCATAGAAATAGGGACAACCTTTTCCTTGCCTTGAAAGAAGAACCATCCTGCAACAATTGCAACAGACGACAATGAGTCCTTTTAAACAGTTGCATCAACCTTAATCGTCCACCAAACATAAATTATACGAATTACCAGTCTAATTCAGTACTTCACCTGAGTCACGAAATAAAGATCAACACAGCTATATTATTTCCCAGTCTCCTGATCCTGTACAGATGACTGCAACACAAAATACACAGAGAAACCTAAAATACCATTAAAACCATTGAAAAAGGGATAATCTTCCACAAGGACTCCGAAAGTCAGTTGATTCGGCAATGTGGCAGAGATGATGTCGCAGACACATCTGATTGCAAGCCGCCTGCAAAATAACTAACAAATAGCTCCACAAACGCTGGAACAGAGGATATCATCCTTCAGAGCCGTCAAGATACTCAACAAGGTAAATCCGAAGAACCAAATCAAAGTAACAAGAAGACCCGTATAAGACAATCAACCCACGGAATACAAGACCACCAAGAACCCGAGAAATGATAACTCCCCTACTGCCGCTGAAGGAATAAAATAAAGGTCACTGCAACGAAACAAATAGAAAACACCATTCAAGCCTTCCCCCAAAAGAATATTGACACCAAATGAGTACAGGATGATGGGAATTGGTGGACAGTAAAACCAGGCCAGACATGTAAGGCTGGAGAGTGTGCAAGGATCCTCAGCAAGGTAAAACCCAAAACACAAAGCAAAAAGGACTAAGATATCAACCAAATAAACAAAGACATAACCTACGCAACAAATAAAAAACGGCAAAATATCAACCAATCCTAACTCAAAGGGCCAAACAAGTGTGAGATGGATTCCTTCCCAATATTCATAACACCACACACACATATATATGCAATAAATAAATTAAGCATGGACTCCTAAGTTAGGGTTGCCAGAAGTAGAGGATTATAATCAACCAAACACACAACTGCCACACAAGAAAATAAATTACCTAGGCAAACCCCAACTGCGTCAAGAAATAGTTAAGGAAAGTAAGAGAAATTAAAAAGGGAAATGAAACCAAAGTATTAGCATGAGAACTGAAACAAGCTCGATAAACTGACGTGGGTGCAAAGATCTGTAAGGAATTGACCAAATGAGAAATGAAAACAGCCCTATTGCCAGTCATGAAAATAGTTCAGCCAGGCACACCCCAACTACATTAAGAAATAGGAAACCAAAGCTAAAGAAATTAAAGAGGGAAAGGAAGCCAGAGAACAGCCACAGGCTCAATAAACTGTAGTGGGAATCATGAAAGATATTTAAAATAGCTCAATTGATTGTTCCAAATCGTGACAAAAGCCAAAAAGCAAAAGAGTTTTACTATAAATATCACATTTACAGGTTATGGATGAATTTCAATCGCTTTATATTTCCTCCACAAGAACTACAGATCAAACCGTTACCATTGAAGCTCATCTTTCGTGTGCGTTTTGAAGCTTGGTTCTATCCATGCACAATTGATATATTCTTTGGTGTTGCACCAATCATCATTGTTGTATCCGCTCCAAAAGGTATGGAACTTTCTTGTTGCCAGAGAATAAAACACGCCATCCTTGTCCTTAAACCTGTCAAGAAACACCTTGTTTCCCAAGCCAGAAATCTTCTCTCCACTGTTTGTTGCTGATAATGCAGATGCAGCGCTCACAAACAGCATATTGTCTTCGAGGTTATCCAGTTCTTTCCAAGTAATGGCTTCTTGATCGAGTGCATATACCTCGAGAACTTTCCCCATGTGGCCCATCAACACGGACAAAAGCTTCCCATTGCACTCCAACAGATAGCTTCTTTGTACCGACGTACAAGATCTATTAGGAAGCTCTATCGTAATGGTGGTTTTTTGTTCAAAGTCATGAATGCAAAGATCTGCGTTCTTCCCCATAAAATATAGCAATCCTTTGTGGTAAATTGGATTACTGAAAGGGCTCATGAAATTACTACTGTCGCTCATGACCTCATATTGAGTCCACTGGTGCTCCCCTCGATAAATAAAGGATATCACCACTTGCTGCCACAAAGCAGTGTAGCAAATAACCAGGCAGTCAAAGGATGTCGGCGAAGACGAGAATGTAATCCCTTCAAGGTCATACGACAGCATAGGAAGGTTGATCCTGTCTTCGGTAAAAGGATTGAAAAAGAATAGTCGATGTTGATCACCCCCAAGTCCTTGTGACATAAGCAACCATCCGTGTTTGGAGCAGCGAATGACTGCGCCTCTCAGACTCGAAGCCTCTAAAGACAAGATACTAGTTACACTGGTGATTGGGTTGAATAAGCTGACTACCTCCCCATCCAATCCTTTATGTACGAGGATTGGGAAAGAATGATTCCTCGCAAATCGAACGTTTGACGATGTAGAGACAACACTGGAAAATATCGAATTCCACGTTTTGCAAGCGAGACGAAAAAAGCAACGATCGGCTCCAAATAAGCGAGATTGTACATCGGAAAGAAGCTCACTTGGAATGTCGTACGACCAATGTCGTCCATCATGATCAGTACTGCTATCGTCGTTGCCCGTCGAGAGAATAATCTGCTCGCTGCCAATCTCATCAGGCGAGATGTCGAATTCCGGTTGAGGATCATCCGTAGAAGATGAGCAACCAAGGGGAATAATCCAATGCGGTTCAGAATAATCAGGTCTGTTAGCTTTAGAACATGGTAAAGAGACGCTTATACTTCTGTCTCCAACGTCATACGCGTAAAGATACCCGTCATTCGTTGGTGGTGTAAAGTACACCGTGTTCCCACGAACACCTCCTCCTCCCACAACTAAGTCTTGTCTTCTTGGAATTTTATAAGAGACGCCATTATCGCTACGGGAGCCTAAGAAGATGGCAGTGTCTTCGGGCAACGTCTCCACGCGTTCCCATTTTTCTTCCAGGAAATTGGCCTTATACAAGTCCAGTCGCTTGACACCAGTCTGGAAGCCCTCGACCCTACGAACCTTGTAGCTGCAGTCAGTGTCTCTATTGTCCCCGTAGTATAGCTTAACCGTCATTAGTTCAGTAGGTGAGGCCTGAACCATGAACGAAGAGCTCATCATAGTGCTCCTAACGAAGTGAGACCGCTGTCCCCTTAACTTCATATCAAGTAACTCCATTGAGACATTGTTAGTACCAAGTTGGTCAATTGCCAACTGAACCTTGAAGAGGCCTTTACAGCATATGGAAACAACATAAAACTCGCCATTGAAGCTGACGGTGTTTCTGAAACGGTGGAGATGGGGATACACTTCGCACCAACATTGACCTTGTTGCGGCTCCACCAGCTGTGTCGTCCAATCTTTATCCCCTGGCTTACAGAAGTGAAAAGAACTCTGCTTTCTTCGTTGACAATATTCGATACACATGAGCAGGCAATTATTAGCACCAGTAGGAGGAGAGGAAAGTGCACAATGGTCGATGCTCTTGGCAGTAAATGGGAATCTGGGTAAGTGAACCTCCTCCATGGTGACAGGGTTAAACAATGAACAATGGTTATGATCGACATCGACAAGCGCTAACCAGCCTTGGCAATGTGCCCAGACGGTTCGATTTCGCGTCTTAGGGATATTTCTCACCTGGCAACTTCGTTCCGACAAGCTGTAGAATGTTTGTGACTGCTTCTGCTTCCCATGGGAGTATACCAGCCATGGCTCTGGTCGTAGAACCGGCGGCTCCCGCCGATTATTCTTCTGTCGACGATGCATAATCCGCTGCTGCTGCTGCTGCTGCTGCGATATGTTGCTAAAATACAGAGTACCAATGCTTATTTATGACCTAATCGATCCGTAGGGCCTATGCTTTGGGGTATTTTGAGTTCAGAAAGGATTCGGATGTGCTCTTTCCGACTTGTATAAGGAAATCAACGAAAGAACGCGCGCTGCCGAAATCTCTCGGCGCTCACCTCTAGCCTCTCCCCTCTCGGCGCTAGCATCCGACCACCCATTCTCTCTCACTGCTCCCAGACGGCTGCAGCTATCACTCCATATGTCTTCGCCCGGAGCTTTACCGGCCTCCGATCCATCCAGTGGCGGCATGAGCGGAGGAGGGACCATCGCCGACGGGAGCATTCCGCCTCTCTACCGCCGCTACGTCGACTGATTTGATGGCCAACAACCACATACAAGCGGCGAGGGCCTAGGAGTGGAAGGGCAACGGTGGGAGAGGGCGACCCGGCGAGTGGAGGGAGCTTGGCGGCGGCGGAGGGAGTTGGGCGGCGACGGTGGTAGATGATTCTGACCTCGGCGGCAAAGTGAATTGGATGGAGGGGAAAATTGGATGGGGGAGTCGGATAATTAGGTGCTAACTGTAGTTTTAGCCGTAGTATTAAAATTTAATCGGATGGTTAAAATTAATTAAGGAATAATTTGGTAAACACATAACTAACCATTAACCAACGTTTTCTTGCATAACTAATATGTTGTAGCTATTTTTAGGGCATGTATACTTTCATTTTTGTTTCCTGTTTTTGAGAAAACATATGTTGAAAATTAGGGGTGGCAATTCGTTTGTTGGTTAGCGGCTAACCGATCAGTCCAACCGATAATCGCCGGTTAGCGGCTAACCGAAAACCGGCTCTTATAATCATCGGTCGATGGTCGGAGTGTCTGGTAGGAGCTTCGGTTAGCCGAGTAATCAAAGTCGGTTAACCGGCTAACCGAAGTAACCGACCGAGGGTTCCCACCATAGTCTAGACGACACCGTTCCCCCTCCCCACGACGCCGTTCCACAAAAAAACTACCCGCCTCCACCAAAATGAACCCTCTCCTTCATCACCTCTCACCAATCCATTCACCAACCAGCCAACCCTACCTTTCCTCTCTCCCCCTGTAGTCCCGCCGTCATCCCCTTCCTCACCGCCAGATCGTCGTCGGTCCATCCCGCGTCCTCCTTCGCACGCGTCAGTCTTTGCCGCCGTGCTCGTCCCGCCTCGGCCTTCGCTCGTCTCTGTCTGCCTCCACCGTCGAGCTCCACGCCACCAGCCAAACCTCCGCTCCTTTGCCCTCACACCCGCCTTGCCGCAGCTCGCCGTTGTCGAGCAGTGATAGAGAGACAGGCGACAGCAATACAGCATAAGAAGAAGGCCAGCGGTCGCCCTTCACACTCACCTCGCCGTTGCTGCAGCTCGCCCTTCACACTCACCTCGCCGGTCGTCCTTCAAAATTGGGATTTGCAGAAGAAGGCCAGCGGTGTAGATAGATCTGAAGACTGAAAGGGAGGTTTGGAACGAAGGATCGAGAACTTTGGAGTTGGGGATAAGATTGGACGGTAGAGAATTTTTTTTTTTTTTTAATGAACTTCCCTTAAGCGACAGCGTTTGGGAGAGAAGGGGTATTTTTCGGGTAAGCGGCTAACCGAGCCTAAAACCGAAAACCAGGCGGTCGGTTGTCGGCTAACCGTGAGCCTCTTCTCGGTCGGTTGTCGAATGGCCCGTGGAGTGCTTCGGCTAACCGATAACCGAGTTTTCGGTTTTCGGTTAAACCAAAACCGACCGACTGCCACCCCTATTGAAAACAGGTGGAAACAACATTTTTTTTTGTTTCTGAAAACAGCAGGAAGTTGCCACTTTATGTTTTCATAGTTGGAAACGAATAGAAAACAGAATGAAAAGTAAACAAGTTTTCTTGTTTTGATTGTCAAATTTATGACATGAAAACAAAAAAAAGGAAACGAAAATAGAAGTGAACAGGTTGTTATTATAGGTATAGAGTAATTGACTCACGTGGTTAGAAGCTCCGAAATTTCCGGAAAGTTTTGGCGCAAGAACTAGGGTTTGTGTGATCTTGTTGGCGGCGATGCCGCCGGCGAGCAGACCGATAGCAACAGATAAGGTCTCATACACAACTGGTGTGAGGTGGGCGGCTTCGGATACCTCATCACCTGATGGTAAGAGCGACAAGGAAACGACTCAAGCAAATAAACGTGTTCGAGGGATGAACTTGGAGCAACAAGGAGTAGGACTGGATGGTGCAGCGGTGGAGATGGAAACTGATGGTGGGAAGGAACGAGAAGGAGTCCCGGTCAAGGACAACCCTAAACCATCAGTGTGGGAAGGAGCTGCAGCTAGGCTATTCAACGAGTTCGGGACTGACGATGGCTGGTACGTTGCAGAATCAGACTTGGAGGACGTGATCAATAAGGAGAAAGAGGAGGATGATACTATTGCTGATGAGGACCAAAACCCACGATGCCCAACTGTGGAATTCATGGCAGCACAGAAAATTAAATGGAGGAGGGAATGGAGATCCGCTTTAGTAGCGCGATGGCTGGGTAAAAGGGTACCATATCTTCCTTTAGCGCGAAGGTTGAATTTCCTGTGGGCAAAGCGGGGTAATATTCAAATCTCGGACATGAAGAATGGTTTCTTCCTGGTGAGATTTAAAAGCAAACAAGATTATGAGTTGGCTGCATATGGTGGACCTTGGCTGCTGGGCGATACATACCTCACGGTCCACCGTTGGTACAAAGGTTTCAATCCTTGGACATCAGAGGTTAAGTCCACTATGGTAAGGGTCTACCAGAGTTGACTTTCGAATTCATCAACGCGGAAGCTGTAATGCAAATTGCAGAGCTTATAGGACGGCCAGTCCGAGTTGATAGAGCAACAGAGGAGAGCGCTCGTGTGAAATATGCGCGAGTGTGTGTAGAAGTTGACCTGACGAGATCATTGTTGTCCCAATACAAAGTTGAAGGAATCACCTACCTGATTCAGTACGAAGGTTTGGAAAATATTTGTACTGAATGCGGTACTTACAACCAGTTGGGGCAAGGCTGCAGGTGTTTGAAACTGACGGATGAGGATAAGGCTGAAGATATCACGATGGTCCCCGAAACACAAGTTGATGATCCAACTAAAGGACGAACGTATGGGGAGTGGATGACCGTTACAAGGAAGGCAAAAAAACAGCCTGCGAATGGGAGAAGGAATGACCAAGCTGGGGGCACCAAAATTCACAATCGCTTTCATAGCTTGCATGAGGAAGCTTGGGACGTATATGATGGGAAGGATAATGGTACCATGCAAAATAGAGCGAGAGAGGAGAAGGGGGGGAAAAAGAATCTTGACACAAGTCAAGGAAGCCTGCATGAGATGACTACCCTGATGAGGGAGGAGGGACGAAAGGCATACAATAAAGGAGGTCCATCCAGTAAAAAGAATTCTACACCTAGCACATCACATGTCGTAGTGGGTAATGTGGATGGTCTTAAGGATTATCCTGACCCTCCCATATTAGTGGAGCGAACGCCAAATGCTCAAAGGAACGTTAACCACTCATTGCCCGTACCCGGCCATGGTGTTGGGAGAAAGAGAAGGAGAGTAAATGGAAAGCAGCTCAGGGAAGCAAGGGTACTGGAAAAGAAAAGTCCAAGCAGACGCCACAGGTGTCGATAGGCTCAAAGAGCCCAATGAAAGGTGTGGGGAACCTATCCCTTTGGATAATAAATGAGAATACTTGTGTATAACTGTCGCGGATTGGGGAATAAGCGCGCAGTTAGGTCCCTTAAGTCGCTCTTGCGACTAACTTTCCCGCACATGGTCTTCCTCATGGAAACCAAACAGACAAAGGATGAGAATGAAGTGACCCGAAGAGAGTTGGGGTTTGCGAATGGAGAAAGCTATTCAATGAATAGTGAGGGAGGAGGTCGAGCTGGAGGTCTATGTATGTGGTGGGGAGAGGATATTAATGCACAATTAATGTCAGATTCCTACCACCATATGGATATGAGAATCACAGAGGAGAATGGAGAACTGTGGAGATTCACGGGTATATATGGCTGGCCGGAGGGCAGCGAAAAATGGCGAACATGGGATTTGATGTGCAGGTTAACAAACCAATGGGAGGGTGCATGGCTGTGCGGAGGTGATTTCAATCAGATCCTATCGATTGAGGAGAAGCGCGGAGGCCGGGTACCTGAGGAAGCGGAGATTGTGGCTTTCCATGATTGTTTACTGGAAGTAAATCTTGTTGATATGGGATTCTCGGGATATGACTTCACGTGGGAAAATAAAAGATCTGCAGAGGGATTTATTGAGGAATGTCTAGACCGCTTCCTCGGCTCACCTAGCTGGGTGGAGAAATTTGAACGTGGTCAAATCTTACATCTCGATAAAGCCAGATCAGATCACCGACCCATTGTTTGTGATACTCTGGGGCAAGATGACGTAGAGCCCAGCTGGGGCTGGTCCTTTAAGTTTGAACCCATGTGGGCAAAACATGAACAATGTGAGGAAGTTATAGAGGCGGCGTGGAATGTATCAGGGGGAATGGACGCAGTAGCTAAGTTGAACTCATGTATGGATAAACTCAACAAATGGAGCCGAGCTACCTTCCCACGATTCTCTAAGCAGAGGGAACGTATTAAGAAGGCAATGAGGGCTGTAGAGAGATTGCCGAAAATGGATTTCAACCTGCAGAGAAGTAAACAACTTGAGAAAGAGATGGAGGAATTGGAGGAAAGGGAGGAGGATTACTGGAAGCAACGATCCAGAGCCGACTGGCTGCAAGATGGAGACAAAAATACACCCTTCTTTCACAAAAAAAAACTTCAGCCACAAGGAAGAGAAATATGATCCGGAAACTGCAAGATGAACAAGGGAGATTGGTCTCAACACATGAGGAAATTTCTAATTGTTTGATTGGCTATTTTGACAGGTTATTTAAAGCGGGAGATAGATCATCAACAACACCAGTGCTTGACGCCATCAGACCCTCCATTACGGAGGAGCAGAATGATGAGTTGTTGCGGCCGTTTACCCGAGAAGAAGTCTATGAAGTGTTGAAGTACATGGGGAACCGGAAAGCTCCAAGAGCTGATGGTTTCTCTGTCTTATTCTTCCGCAGAAATAAGAGGACTGTGGGAGACGATGTAGTGGTATTAGCTATGGCAATTCTTGAGACTGGGGAGATGCCATCGGAACTAAATCATACTCTAATTACCTTAATCCCAAAAGTGAAGAACCCACTTTCACCAAAGGATTATAGGCCGATTAGTCTATGTAACGTGATGTATAAGATTGTTGCTAAGGTGCTTGCAAACCGGTTAAAACCACTGCTTGGCCAGGTGATTTCAGAGGAATAAAGTGCATTTATCCCCGGGAGAGTGATTACAGATAATATTATGGCTGCATTTGAGTGCTTTCACACAATGAAGAAAAGAAAGAAAGGAAAAGTGGGGTACTTTGCAGCAAAGGTGGACATGGCAAAAGCGTATGATCGAGTTGAGTGGCACTTCTTGGAGTCGGTGATGGCCAAAATGGGATTTTCTCGGAGATGGATAGAGCTGATTATGATGTGTGTTCAATCTGTAACCTACT